CCAGCCTCAGCTCTGCCCTTCGCCTCCCTCTCGCCCCCCCAGCTCCACTCCGAGCCCTCTGCAAAGCCTCCCTTGCTTGGCACTTAGCTAGGAGAGGTGTTGCTTCCCCCAGGCTTTGGTGTTTGGTCTGCAGGAGCAGAGCTCGGTCCGAGGAGACACCTACTGCCCCCAGACAAATAAGCAGCTGGGAGTGACCTCTGAGGGGTTCCTACCCTCGTGGCCCTTTTCAATTTATTTAACATTTACAGGCAAAAGGATCAGATTCAAAGCCATTGCATGGAGCTCGCCCCTTATCTCTGCAGGAGAGGGATGTTTATTTGAACCTCTCTCAGAAGCTATTAATAATTGTTTAGTCTGAGAACATTTCTGGAGAATCTTTTGATTTGGGAAGGAGCTTGTGGAGATGCCTTCCCTCACCCCCCCTGTGCTGCTGCCAGAGCAGTGTGAGTCTGTCAGGCTTTTCTTTGTCTTGTAGATGGGCTGAACTTCCAGCCTGTGATTAAAGAGCAGGTACAGACACAGAGCCCTCCACCACATGGGCACCATCAGATGCTCCTCAGGTCCCACCCTGTGGCCATGCATGGACTGCTTGTCCTCCAAGAGGAGGGGATTGTCACCATACCCTTGGGGTCACAGCCACTCACCCCAGAAGGGTTTCATACAGGAAAAGAAAAAAAACAAACCCCAACATGGCAAGGATGAAGCAAGACTTGGGGAAGGAGCATGGGACACGAGCCAAGGGGATCTGGATGGAGCAGCAGGAGCTGAGCACTCGTGATGGGAATTTGAGGTCTCAGGAGGCATTACACACACACACTTCCAGGATGTGGCCAGAGCCTTGTAAAATCAGGTCACAAGTGGGGCATGGCTGGATAACCTCCTGTCTTCTGCTCTGGTGACCCAAAGGTGAGGGGTCCCTCTTGCCACACAGCCCATCAGCACCAGCTCAACAGCCTCTGGGTTTGTTAGCAGAAAAAAATATGCAGAAATCCAGTTTCATCAGGAATATTACAGATACTCCACCCTTTACTTAGGGATTACCCCTTTTGAAAAGCCCAGGACAGGGACACATCTCCACTCCAGGGCAGTGGTAAGTATGGATGGTTCTTCTTGCTTGGACACCCTGGCTCACAGTAAGTTTTCACAGAAGAGGAGCAAATTCCTCAAAAAAAAGGATCCACCTCCCTCTCATGGTGACTCACCAAGTGCCAGAGCAAAGAAATGCCCTTTGGCTTCCCCTCCACAAAGGAGAGTGCAATTTGAGGGTTGTTTGGGACTGGATGCAAAACTACAGTTGGTAGGAAAGCTCCAGGGTCTCACAGCTTCTAAAGCAAAGCCACCAGAGAGGTTCCTTCCAGAAGATCTCTGGTTCCAGAAGATATGCCAGATAGGAGACACAGGACTTCAGTGAAATTGCATGAGCCTTGCTGGAGTTAACACTTCTGGCTGATGAGCTGTTCCCTGGTAGATGAGGAAGGACTAGAGACAGATGCTGTAGCTCCTTGCCATTTTTCATTCTTCTGACAGATGTTCAGGGTAGTTAAAAACGAGCCTCTGTGCCTGTTGTTGATATTACAGGCAATTTGTTGCTTACATGTGGTTAATAAAAATGCTGCAAACACAACTCTACATCTGTCATGCAGCCCCACGAAACACATCCCAGTGCTGCTCCTGCAGGAGCTCTGCTGGGAGAGGGCTGCTCCAAAGCTCCCTTCAGAGGGAAGCATCAGCCACCTAGATCTCCCTGTTCACTGACAAACCCCCTTGTATTTGCTTTTCCACGTCCATGGTAGGAACCTGAGCTCACCTCCTCCCTGCCTTGGGGAATTTGCTCCCTGCTGTGGCAGTGCCCACGCTGCCAGGGGTGGCCACCAGGAGCTGCTCCAAGCAGGCCATTGAGCAGGGAATGGCCACTTCCCCAGCAGATTGGGCTTTCCCTGTGAGCAGAAGAGTTGCTGGACCCACAAGGGATCAACAAGCAATTTGGTTCTTTCTGGAAGACCAGCCTCATGCCCAGGGGGCTCATGCAGCCCTAGCATCCATGGGCACAAAGGGCAGGGGGGCAGAGGGGTGATGGGGCCACCATGCCACAGGGAAGAGAGCAAATGTGAGACTTCTAACACAAAATCCTCACCTCAAACCACACTGAGTGTTTCATCCTGAGTTGAAACAGTTAAAATGAAACAAAACCAAAAGGACCAGCCACTGGATTTCCTGCTCTCTGCCTGCAGCACAAGGTCCAGGCACCCTCCAACCCCCAGAGGAGACCACGCAGGGGCAGAGTCATCTCCTTGCACACCCAGGAGATGACAGCTTTTGAGGCAAGCACACCAAGCCCACCTCCATGGAACTTCTCCCCTCTCTGGGAGCAACTCACCCAGGGGAAGGGGCTTTCCAGCTGCCTCCTTGAGCTGCATCTGGGCCACTCGTTCCTTCAGCCTGGAGCTGAAGAGGAAGCCCAGGCTGAGGTCATCAAAGCAGGCAATGCTGGGCACGATGGTCAGCCAGTTGAGGAAGCTCAGGTTCCCACTGATGATCAGGAGGACCTGAAGAGGAAAGAAGAGAGCAGAGGGTGTTTGCATCTGTTGGAGTGACAAGGGAAGGGCACGGTGAAGGAAACGCCAGATGGATTTTAGCACCCTGGCACATACTCTGTGGGCTTTTTGTGATGTCAAACCTTTCCTACAGCCCAAATGCACCCCACTGGCTTGCAACGGGAGCTCTGCCCTTCCTTTCGGGCAGGGGACAGTGTGACTTGATTGCCAGAGTGACACAGGCCCCGTGGGCATCACCCTCTTCCTGCTCATCCCAAGTAGCTGTGACAGCAACGCTCCTGAAACCCTCCAGCAGGAAATCCTGGAGCTTCTAATTAAAGCTGCATTAAATAGAGAAGTGTGCATTTATTAAGATGTGTTTTTTTAAAAAAAAATAAATAAATTTAGCTTTTATTGGCCATTTAGGAGAATGTCTTGCATGTGTAAGGCAAAGAAAGTGGAAAAACCTGTGAACCTTTGGAGGAGTCTCCAGAAATATCCGTGCACGGCAGGAAAGGCCTTTTGTAGGCACGTGTTATTTTTTGTCTTGCTCTTACAATGACTGGAAAAATATGAGGAACCTTCTTGCCACCCTCCAGCAAGTCCTCCCTGGCATCAAGCAGTCACCACCAGGTGACTTTCTGCACCCTCAGCCCCAGGAAGGTCCCATCAGCCTTTCTGGGTGCTGACACGGACCCTACAGAGGACATCAGATGGGTCCCACCAGGAACTTGCACAGTGATGTTAACATTGCTCAACCAGACCTACCCCTCCTGCTGGGTTTTAACATCACATTTATCTTCTCTGTCATGTTAGAGCTTCCAACCCCTGCACACAAGTCTCCCTACACATAAGCAACATCCAAAGATGCAGTTTCCAGCATCACAGAGACATCTCTGCTCCTAACCATGCTGCACCATCCCACGTGTGGCACAGCTCAATTTTATCCCATGTTCACAGGATCACAAAATGGTGGGGCTGGAAGTGACCTCTGGAGATCACCTTGTCCAGCCCCCTTGCCAAGGCAGGTTCACCTGGGGCAGGTCACACAGGAACGTGTCCAGGTGGGGTTTGAAAGTCCCCAGAGAAGGAGACTCCACAAACCCCTCTGGGCAGCTGCTCCAGGGTTCCATCACCCTCACAGTGAATAAGTTTTTCCTGGTATTCAGATGGAACCTCCTGGGTTGCAGTTTGTGCCTGTTGCCCCTTGTCCTATCACTGGGGACCACTGAGAAGAGACTGGCCCCATCCTCCTAACATCTGCCCTTCAGATATTTATAAACATTGCTCAGATCCCCTCTGAGGCTTCTCCTCTCCAGCCCACCAGCCCCAGGGCTCTCAGCCTGTCCTCATCCCAGAGATGCTCCAGTCCCTTAATCAAACTCACAGCCTCCACTGGACTCTCTCCAGCAGTTCCTTCTCTCTGGAACTGGGGAGCCCAGAACTGGACCCAACACTCCAGAGGTGGCCCCACCAGGTCAGAGTGGAGAGGGAGGAGAACCTCCTGTGACCTGGCTTTGCCCAGGGCTGCCCAGCCACCACAGCAGCCACACAGGAACCTGTGAGGAGCTACCCAGCATGTGGCTGTAAAACAATATATTGGGAATCCACTCATGTGAAGATAAGAAGAGAGAAGCCTGTTCAGGACTACTGGAGTTTGGATGCTGGTTTGGATCCCTGTCCCCTTAGTCAGCATTTAGCCCTAATTAACTGTCCCTCAGACATGTTAAAACAAGAGAGGTGGAAAAAAGGAAAGAAAACAAAGTTGTCTCACCACCTTATCCATAAAAAATGAAGGTTATGAAGCTGATTTAATGTCTTACACTTTGAAAAATAATGCCCTGATGTACCAAAGTCATTTATTTTTCAGCCTTCAGAGCAGCTAAGGAGAACTTCCCCCCCTTCCAGCTGCACTGAAAGCTGTGACCTTGGTTGGCACCACTCTTATTTTACTCAAAGAACTCTCCTCCACTCCCACAGCTGAACTTTGTCCTCCTGTGAACTGTTTACTCACCATTTTTAGAGCCTGGAAGACTTTCAGGACAGTGCAAGACCGAAGGTGTGAAAATCCCTGTGTGCCCAAACGTCAGCCCCAGAGATTCACAGAACCACAGAATCATTTAGGGTGGAAAAGACCTTTCAGATCATTGAGTCCAACCATTCCCAGCACTGCCAGGTCCCCACTGCCCCGTGTCCCTCACCCCACATCTCCACAGCTTGGAAACCCCTCCAGGGGTGGGGACTCCACCACTGCCCTGGGCAGCCTGGCACAGCCCTGGGCAACCCTCAAGGGGAAGAGATTTTCCCTAATATCCAGCCTAAACCTCCCCTGGTGCAACTTGAGTCTGTTTCCTCTTGTCCTGTCCCTTGTCCCTTGGGAGCAGAGCCCGACCCCCCCCTGGCTCCAGGCTCCTGTCAGGAGCTGTGCAGAGCCAGAAGGTCTCCCCTGAGCCTCCTTTGCTCCAGGCTCAGCACCCCCAGCTCCCTCAGCTGCTCCTCCCCACACTTGTGGCACCACAAGTGTGCTCCACACCTCCAGCACACCCTCTCCTCCCTTGAACTGGGCTCACTCTGGTGAGTACTTGCTCTCCCACTCAAGAGGTGGTCTCCAAACACATATTCCACAACGCCAGCAGCAGCAACACATGCACAACCTCCAGCACACCCTCTCCTCCCTTGAATTGGGCTCACTCTGATGAGTACTTGCTCTCCCACTCCAGAGGTGGTCTCCAAACACACTATTCCACAACACCAGCAGCAGCAACACATGCACAGTTTCAGTCCTGAGGACTTTCAGCCAGCATCCTGCTAAAAAGATGTATGTTTTGTCATTAAAAACAACAATGAATAAATATTAAAACCATGTTGCTACCTATTTTATGAGTGGCACAAGTCTTTTTTTTTTTAAAACACAGTGATTTCCAAGTTACAACTTCCAAACCCCCAGCAGGGCTCTTCACTAACAGAATCACGTAAGCTTAAAAAAATGGGAGATCTGACCAATTACAGTAAGTAACAAAAACCCTAATGATGATTTTGTTAAAAATCCAACTCATTATTTATCCCGAGTTGGATAATTATCCAGAATTATGAGGGGGGGAGGGAAAAAAAAGTGTTTAAATCTGAATTACCTACACGTGTTAGCTCCTTGAACGTAACGTGTTCTGCTTGAGGTTTGGTGCTCCCCCTTTGACCCAAAGGTGATTTAGCTCGATGCATATTAATCAGCCTGTATTCATTAACAAGCTTCTCACTTGGTCAGGAAACTCTGACCCTTTTCTGAGGCGTTTTGCCTCGCAGAACTCCAGGAATATTAAGAAAACAGTTCTGCACTTTGCCACTTCTGCCGAGGCTCCTTTTACAGCTGGGTGGTCCACGGGAGGGTTTTTTTGCTGGTGATTCACCTCTCTTTATTGCTTGGAAGTCAGATATCTGATTTCCACCAGCCCTTAAAAAGCAAGGGATTCAAAAATAATACAAGTTTTGGCGTTTTCTGGGCTGTGGGTGGAATCCTGAACCTGACACGTGGTGAACTTCGGGTCCTCTGAGCGAGGCTCGACGTTCACACCAGGTGCTGCTGGGCACCACCCAGGGGTCAATGCTGCACCCTGCTCAGGGGGGCTGAGCACCACGAGCCCCTTGGTCCTGGGAGAAGGAACCTCAGAGGAACTGCTGGAAAGGCAGGAAAGAGAACAGGTTATTTTCCACAGGTGCCAATGGAGCTGACCCAGCAAAGGGCTTCTGGCACGAGGTGAGATTGGATGGATGTGTCCAGCCAGCACTGAGGGTGAAGATCTGTCAGCTGAGCAACCTGGGTTAGTGGAGCCTTTGTGATTCTAATTAATATTTGCATACATTCACCTAAATCCTTCCTTTTCTGTGTGGAATCTCCTCAGCCTCTGTGTCCTGCTCACCCTGGGCAGCAGAGCTGTGCTGGTCCCTGGTGGGAAGTTTAATTTATCATGAATCTCTCAGGGCAGTGAGGGCAGAGATCTCTGGTGATAGAATCACAGCATGGTTTGGGTTGGAAGGGACCTTAATGATCATCTAGTTCCAACCCCTCTGCCATGGGGTTCAACACCTCCTGTGCTGGGAACTGAACTGGGTGCATGCCTGACAGAGGTGCTGGGGATTTGGGGAAAGCCACCCAACTTCCCAAGGTCTTATTTCACCCACATGCAAAGCAGGTGTTTGGATGCCTGACCTCCTCCTGCACCTACATTTGGCTGCAAGGCCACCAAATTCCCCCCAGGAGCTGGTGCTGCTGGCCTGGAGAGCACAGAGAGCATCACTGCTCCTTCCCTGCTGGCTGCATGAGGGAGGAGAGTTTGCTGCACCCATCTCACAGACATTTCAGCCTCTCCATCATGCCAAGCTTGGACCTTCTGTCCTCCTACAACGACTGCCACCCAACTGTATCTCTGTCTCTCCACCTTCTGCACCTCTGCTGTGGTGGATGGCCTGTGCCCCCCCTCCCTTCAGCCCAATCTGTGTTTACTGAGCGTCCTCCTCTTGCTGGACAATATTTAAATGCACAATTATAACAAACAGATGGGATCAACCCCTGTGGTGATTTCTAAAAATTTTTTTATTAAAGCACAGTATTAATCATGGTAATTGGGTAGGAACTTTAAGGTTATAAAACTACAGCATGTCTAATGAGCGAGCTCCTTCTAGGAGGAACTGAGGTTTTTAATCTAATAATGTCAGTTTTATGGATTATGACTGGAGTTTTATGAAGTGTGATATGAAATACTGTGGATTCATGGGCCTCGCTGGATTAATTTGGAAAAGTAGTTTTCCTGGTTCTAGGCCCAAAAACAATTATTCCTTACATTTCTGTCCCTTGCACTGTTACCAAACCCCTCTGTCAGAAAATGGGCACCTACACCCATAACTTTTTTACAGGTTAGACTTCTTTGTTTGGCTGCTTTTTTATGATTTTTTTTTAAATCACAGATTGTTATAAACATACAGTAGGGAGGAGAAGCTCATATTCTGTGTAGCAGACT